AAACCATTTATGCCCAGTTTCTCCAATGTATCTTAAGCTCTACTTGAATCTTAAGATCGCCTTAAATCTTAAGTCTATCTTAAAACGTTGCACCAACGCAAATCTGCATCTTATATTCACAAAGGCAGCCTTACATTTAAGTCGTGAAAATCTGCGACTTAAGTCGGCATTATTGTTAGTGAAGTTGAAAATGAGTGGCATTTTGTCTTTCAAACGTCACTTTTCAAAATGGAATTGATCGATGTCGATGATGTCGATGTGGTTGATATGGTAGACATAGTAGAAAATATTCGAATACCACGGCAAATTCACATTAGGAGAAATTTATTTAATATTTATTCTAATGTTGAATTTTTTCGACGATTTCGACTCGAAAAAGGGACTGCTTTATATTTATTGGAGAAAATAGAACATAGACTAGAGAACTTCCATAACAGGTAAGTACACATCATTCATAGGTTTGTTTCACGTTTGTATACTTACCTACATATAATGCTTTTTGTGACTATTGTATAGTGCGAATTCAAGGTGTACAATAATGTTTTTTGAAATTCAGGAATAATTCCATCAGTCCCATGAATCAACTTTTGCTAACGTTAAGAGCTTATGCCAGTGCAGGGCATTTTGTTGCTGTTGGAGACTTTGTGCATGCAGACAAGTCAACAGTATGTAAAATTGTTTCAAAAGTTTCAAGGCTCATAGCATCAATTGCAAGGGAATTTATATACATGCCTCGAAATGAAGTTGAAATTGCAAGTGCTCAGAATAAATTTTACGACATTGCTGGTTTCCCTAGAGTCATTGGGGCAATAGATGGATGTCATATAAAAATTCAATCACAAGGTACTTACTACACTATTTTTTTCACATTATTTTTAGTATTATACTTTACATTCGCTCATTTCTACAAATAAGAATTTAATTTAAAGGTGGAGCTGATGCTGAAATATATCGAAACAGAAAGGGATATTTCTCTGTAAATGTGCAAGCCGTTACAAGTGCTGACCTGTTATTCCAAGATATCGTCGCACGTTGGCCAGGTTCGACGCACGATACCACCATTTTTAGAAATTCACGATTAATGCATAGATTCAATAATGGAGACTTTGGAAATAGTATCTTGTTGGGTAAATAGCACTTTTTTCAATATTAATTTACAATCGCTACTTACTTTTTAGGAGATAGCGGTTATATGAATCTTTCATATCTATTTACACCTTTTCTGAATGTTCAGAACGATGGTGAAAGAAACTACAACAGAAGTCACGTTCAAAGTAGAGTCAAGGTAGAAAATCTATTTGGTGTTTGGAAAAGAAGATTTCCTATAATAGCGTATGGATGTAGAATGAAGCTAGAAAATGTACTTTGTGTTATTGTGGCTACAGCAGTTTTGCACAATTTGGCTCGTTTGAGGGGAGAACCAGAACCACCTATTGAAAATTTAATTATGGAACACGAGCTTCAGCAAGCAATTCGAGATGGAGATATTCCTTTAGCCGCCGAAGAAAATGATTTAGGCTATGATTATAGAAGACATTTAGTAGATATATATTTTTCTAGATTGTAATTTTCGTATTTTGCAAGTTTAAAGATAAATTATATTACATATTAACATACCTACTACAATAAACATTTTTTATTAAAATTGAAAATACGTACTTATACTTATTTAAATGAATTCATTCTTCGAAAAAATACTAGATTTATTTTATGGCAACATTTACTTGGAACAAGAGCACTTCCCAATTTCCTCTTCCATTAAGTAAATTTTTTTCTTGTGCTCAACTTCCATGGCATGTAACATTTTCTTGTGCTCCTTTTCTTGCAAAAGAATTTCTTTTTGAATTTGTAGTACTTCAATTTTAGCTCTTTCTGTAGGTCCCAGGTCTGCGTTAATTTTAGGTCTCCTTCGAGCAGACCAACGAGTGCCTCGTAAAAGTGTGGGCGTGGGCTCTTCGTAAGTAAGCAGAACGTTTTGATTGCACAGTTCAGTTTCATCATGTGTTTGTTCTAAAGGTGTAATAGAAGGTGTACTGGATGTACACGGTATTTCTATGTTAATTTCTTCTTGATTGGGCTTGGAAGATATCAAAATCGGCATTCCAAGAATATCCTCTGCTGGATGATCTAATATAGGTTCTACAAAATATAAAAATACTTGTATCTATGTGTGCCTCACTAAAAATATAATTAATGGAAATTCGAGTGTAAATTTTACCTTTCATTACATCAGAATCAAATTCATTTCTTAGACCAAGGACTGTCTTCTTATTTATTATATCCAAAACCAATTGTTCATTTGCTTCACAATTTTTCGAAGAAAGTGCAGGAGCAACTCCTCCACCAGTTTTGTAAAGCTCCTGCCTTTCTAGTGCCGCCTTTTTTCTTGAGTCCTGCTTCATATTGCTCCACTGCTTCCGTAAAGAATTGGCGTCACGAAAGACGTTGAAACACTTTTTATTAAAATTTTGCTCAATAATTTTCCAAACGTCATCTTTTTGATGGTTTGAAACGGCGTTTGTATCTTTATTTTCGATGATATTTTTATTTGAATCAACCAAATGAATTAATAGTTTTTTTTCTTCTTGAGTGTAATTCACTCTTTTTTTATTAGAATGCATGTTGGCCGATGTCTAACAAGTTCGGTGCACGGTTCGGTGGGGCAATGACGAGTAACTTATAGAATAAGGCCTTATTCTGTGGAGTAACTATCAAGTTTGACAGTTTGCAATTATTAGGTACCTACCTTCGGTAACGCGATTCATTAGTAAAATTGGCATTCATTTGATAAAATTCTGTGTTGCCAGATCGTTTCAGACAAATTCTGATGCTTAGCTAAGATGCGAACTTAAAATTTTGGTGCAACGTAATTTAATTTTAAGGACACCTTACAATTAAGACCGCCTTGCCTAAGGTACAGCTTATATTTTGTTGGAGAAACCGGGCATTAAAGCGTCATTTCGATCTCCAAACGATTCCTTCTGGCTTATTTTCAAAATGAGGTTTTCGGCCGTTTGTAGTTCCTCCACCGAAAGAGCTTCCATCCTTACCGTCAATGGTAATGGTTCTTTGATTTTAGCGACTTGTCGATCTGCCGCCTTTTCCTTCAATTTTTTTCTAACATTATTTTTGAAACGCAGCATCCACCCAACTTGACGTACTATTCTCTCGAAATCCTCAAATAACGTAAAATCTGAACTAGCTAAGTTCTCAGTAACCAGCAAGCTCGATACTGTTGATTTCGTCCTCTCTGCAGTGATTTCATTCTCGTCATATGCGACTGGTTCCGAAGGCCATTCCGCCGGCTCAGCCCTCAGCCATGATGGCCCCTCCCACCAACGTTTTTCGCACAATTGTTGCGGTGTGCATCCTCGGGAAGGCAGATCAGCCGGATTTAAGTGCCCTGGCACATGCCTCCATGAATCGATCGCCGAATTCTGACGAATTTCATTGACCCTATTTCTCACAAAAACCGTCCATTCTTCTTTTCGTCGTATCCACGAAAGAACGGTAGTGGAGTCGGTCCAATAAAAACACTTTCCGTCGCCTTTTAGGTCTTTTTTAACTGTGTCACACAAACGAACACCGATCGTGGCGCCCAAGAGTTCCAGTCTAGGAATGGTAGTTGGTTTGATAGGCGGGACTCTCGATTTTGTGGCTAGGAGATGTATTTTTACCTCTCCTCCTTGCTCTATGCGCAGAAATATCACTGCGGCATAGGCCTTTTTACTCGCGTCTGTAAATACATGCAGACTCCATGGTTGCGATGTATTCGACTCGAACCCAATCCACCGTGGTATTTCAATTCTTTCCAAGTATTGTAATTCTTCCGCCCATTCCATAAACGCTTTTCTCGTCACCTCGTCGACTTCCTCATCCCATTGCAGTTGTTTTTCCCATAATTGTTGTAACAGGATTTTTGGTCTTAGAGTCACGGGACTGGTAAACCCTATAGGATCGTAGAGTTTCTGAGCGATGGATAACATGAGTCGTTTCGTCACACGGAACTTTTCCGATTGGATCAATTCTTTGATCGAAAAACCGTTAACTGTCAATACGTCTTTCTCTCGATGCCATTTCAAACCCAACACGGAAACGCTGGGAGTATTAGGTTCGTTCAAACTCGTGTGCTCCCACCCTCGAAGATCAAACTTCGCTTCCGCCATTACTTCGGTGGCCTCTTTTATGAACTTATCGAGAGTCGCCATGTCCTTTACGCTGGTCACGCAATTAGAAACTCTGATTTAACCGCGTGATCGTGTCTTTTGAATAAGAGGGATTCGGTGTGTCGCATTTTTCGAGACATTTTTCTAGGTGATGTTCGATTGTAGCTGCTAACAAAAACGGGCTGCTGCTCACACCGAAAACTACTCTTCTATGTCGATCAACCTTTTCATTGCCCTGTTTATCAACCCATAAAAATTTTAGAAATTCTCTGTCCGGTTCATGAACTCCAATTTGTAAGAACGCCTTTCGGATATCAGAAATCACTCCGATTTTGAGTTCACGAAATCGCAAAATTATCGATGGGATCAATTCTATCAAATGGACACCCTTGCTTAAGCAACTATTTAACGACGGTGAAATTTTCGAATACGCTGATGCATCGAACACCGGACGAATTTTTGTTGTCGAATTTTCCTTCACGACGGGCCTGTGTGGCAGATAATGCCCTCGTGATGATCCACCTCCCCAACAACTGTCTCGATTACTCCTTCCGATTGCCATTCACAAAAAACCTGATCGTAGGCTTGGTGTAGTTGGGTGTTTTCCAAGTTTCTTAATGTCAAACTCAATCGCCTTTTTGCAATCTCGTAATTGCTGGATAAAGGAGAGTGATCCGCTGCCCACTGAAGTCGCACTTCATAACGCCCTTCTCCGTCAACCTGTAGAGTTTTCTCAAAGCACTTCTTTACTTCTCGAAACTCTTTCTCGCTTCGTTTTTTCTCGACAGGATCTCGTATCCCAAGTACGTCGAGTTCCCACAGCGAAGTCACTGTTTAGTCAGAAACTAGACAAGATATTTCCATGTTTGATTTAAATCGCTGGCTGTCTATTTTTCCCATGAGCGTCCATCCGAATACAGTTTCAACCGCTACCATTCCACATTCTAAAACTTCCCTCTTTCCTGTGTAAATATGACCTGCCACGTCTGCGCCTAGAAGTATTTCTATCGGCGAGGAATCTTTTACATCAGACAAGGAAATCCCAATACGTTTCAACTCCTTAATCCACGGTCCATAAAATACCGGCGGAATAGGATGACAAATAGTCGGTTGATCCAATACCTCTACTGTACGGGAGTAATCTCCCTTTACCAACGTAACGTCGTAACAAGAATGATTATGTTCTACTGTTGTTCCACCAAACAACCCATGCGCTATCGCCGCGCGTCTTTTTACTTCGAGACCTAACGCGTCGCTGGTGCTTTTTAGTATATAGTCGATTAGTACTCGCAGGTCACGTTCGCCACCGTTATGTCGAATATTGACTCTAAAAGTTTGCAGAAAAACGTGGCTTGACGTGAAATTCGCGAGATCCTCAGATTTGGCTTTCTCAGATAGATTAGCCGCTTTCGATTTGTCATGCGCATTATTTGCTTCTGGTTTCGATCCTACTTGCGGATCCGTTAATGTAGAACACATTAAGGGTACGTGCTCCTTTTTACAAATAATGCATTTTACGGTGGCGCGGCATCTCTTGACGCTATGACCACCCCGCAGGCATCGAAAACATGCCCCTTTCTTTTTTACTATATCTTTGCGCTGTTCTAGCGAAAAATTTTGAGCTTTAACACACATTGTACTTTCGTGATTTTTATCGCAAAAAACACAGCTCAAACCATCTTGGACTACTAACCCCGCGGCTGTCGCTATCGGTTCAGCGTTTTGCGATATCACCTTTTTCTTAAACGTAGGACTTAATCTACAGTACGAGTCATTCCCGGATTGTTTACGTACGCTAGCTTTCCCTCCCGAAGAGATACCAAAACCCTCAGCAGCGAGTGCAATGCGCTCCTCGCCCTCTACTTCTCTTTTTAGGAAGGCCATTAAATTGGCTAAACGCCTAGCAGGTTTTATCTCTTCACGCTGAATTGCATCTGATAAATTTGCTATAGACGCGTTCGCGGCCCTTTTGCCACACTCTAAGAAGTTCCTCTGGCAAGCACGACTCAATAAGTGGGAATAACATTGCTGCGCACTTCTCGGTGGTTACGCCTAGCGTCTCCAGCGCTCTCAACTGAGTTTCCAATTTATCGTAGAGAGATACTAAGTCAATTTCTCGCGTCGAAGTCGCGTTCTGAATAATCAACTTCAACAATTCGCGTACATAAACTTCGATTAACAAGTCCTCTCGACCGTACCGCGATTTTAACGAGTCTATAATTTTTGAATAGTTACCGGCCATCACAGGGTAGCTTTCTACGACCTGCCGTGCACGGCTGCCAGCAACTGTGGCTTGTATTAAGTAACTAATTTTATCGATTTCATCGAGTTCTGTATGATGATGAATTTTCACAAATTGTGCCCAAAACGCGAGCCATTCACGCACGTTCCCATCAAATTTTTTAAAATCTTTCGGTAATAAATCTCCTACCTTGTATGTTGTAAAGATTTACCCCATTGTTACCGATGCCACTGGAAGGAACGGCTGCTGTCGATGGCTTGGAGGTTAGGTCGCTCACCTGCTGCTGTAACTCAAGGAACTGTTCCATGAATTCTGCGCAAGTAGCTTGTTCGGCTCCCAGGACGTCTCTGTCGGCCGCCTCACCCATCAACAGCGTTGTTATTTCATCGTCGGCTTTTTGTAAAGTTGAATGCTTAAGCCGCAGCATTTCAACCGCCACCTTCAACGCAACACTATCTATAGGAGTTTTAGTTAATAAAACCCGTAGCTTGTCGGTGGCCCGCATAAAGCTATCACGACATACGTCGCGGTATCGCCTTTGTTGCTCCATTTTTCGCGGAAATCGAACGCACCACTAAAATGTCAATTTAACACAAATATCGTAACCAAAACACTCAAACCCGGTATCCTGTCACGGTCGCCATAAAATGTTAACAAAGCTTGATGAAAACTACCCGTTTTCTTATGGGTTTTTTATTTCTTGTCACGATACAATTAAATTGACATAACTAGTAAAAAATGCGTATTTCCACTCTTTTGTTTTTTTTTTACAACTCTGATATATGTCCAATTCACAACAATTACGCACCCAACAAGGCTATACCAGGGAAACCTTCTACGGGACAAAAACCCCGGCATAGGACACACAAATACATGAAATAAATCACCTGCAGCAATAAAATGCAAGAGAATATACACATAAATAAAACATCTCAAATTGTATGATAAAAATCAGATAATCAAATCAAATGCAATTAAACAAGTTCATAAAAACAAAATACACAAGACATCATAAATGCAGTGGAAAACCCGATAAATCAATTCAGTACAAAAACACATTAAAATACCTGTACAATCAATTGAAATAACACAACTCGTAAAATAATAAATGGCATGTACATAGGAAACATCAAAATGGTGTGGCTCTACTCCAGCCCTCAGTTAACATGGAAATAACTAAAATAATAATTTAAAAAGTTACCTTGCGGACTAATTACTCAGCCAAACAGCTATAAGAAAAGTATAATAAAATATTGGATTATTTAATGTGAATAACGGTTACATTTGTAGGCACTTATTGAAGACTTGCAAACTCCAGACTCTTTAATAACATGCATGTCTATGATCTATAATGAACCTTATTCCATTGTCAATATGTATTAAATTCATATAAAAACAGAACCAATAAACAACCTTCAGACGTCTCTAAAGAACCTGGAAATGCCTTCTAAAACTGGTCGTGTGCTGAAGTATCAAATTTACCTCTCGGAAAATGATTGGAGGACTGACAACCTCTTTTTAGGTAAAATATAAATCTTCCGCAACCTGACGCAAGTTCGAGAGCCGCGCTTCTGGACTCAAAACTGCTGCTATTTCAGTAGGACAAGAATGAACTTCATAACTTCCTTCTCACTAAGATTTCAAGTGAACTTACCGCCTTACCTGTGACCAATTCCTAAAATACAGATAATGAACTTAAAATTATTATCGCAACCTGCTGTGATGCCTTTAGAAATGCAGGGATATTAACTTTATCTTGGACAGCTCACACCCACCCACACACCCTTACTACAACAATTGGATGGAATTTAAGAACTTCCTTCTGCTGTTCTTCTTTTTAATCAAACTCGTTACCTACTTCTTGTTCTTCACAAAAAATGTTCTCACCGACTTGTTTTAATTGAGTACTAGGACTATTTAATTTTCTTTCTTCTTCACATGTTATGCTATTATGTCTCTTCCGTCTCATTATGGACGTTCAAAATTTGTCGAAAATACTGTGACGTAAACGTCACGTGATTAATTTTCTCTTCTTCTTGGTGCTGAATTAGTGATCTAGCATGTATTCGTCTCCCTGATCACCCCTATTAAATTTGTCCACTGTAATGTCTTGCATTCTGTGGGCGGTTCGTGTATTCGCGCCGCTCTCGCCTTATATTTTCTCTTGTTTTACGAATACATTTCTATGAGCGTTTCTTTCTCGTTCCCCGTTCCGTTGTTGCTCTTTTATGAGTTATTCTTTGATCAACTCTTCCAATTCATACTTGTCCTGTTGGGTTAATCCGGCTTGCTGTGTGTATTTTTTTAAATTTTCTTCTCTTGTATTCAAATATCTCGGGGTAGCTCTTGTTGAACTTTATCCAATAAAGGACATGGTAAATAATAGTATATTATATTATGAGGAGCTAAAGTGATACTTTTTATGGCGAGTCAGCGTTTGATGGCCGAGCGAAGCGAGGCCAGCAAAATACTGACGAGCCATAAAAAGTTACTTTAGCTCCGCATAATATATGCTATTTTTTCTTCAAACGTGAGAATAACGCCTAAATAATGGTTTTCAAAACGGAAGAAATATTAACGCGATCGTTATAGGTATAGCCGTGAGCGCGTCGGCTGTGGTGACTATAACAATTGCTATAGTTAGCCATTATTAGTTTTGACGTTTTAATTGTGGACGAGTTTTTTGTAGGTAAGTATCCTTTCAATTTTTAGAAAATTACGACCTTAGTAATTTCTGTAATTCCTTTAGCGATCATGGATTCATATTGCCGCCACCTGACGTGGAGGAAGTTGCTTTAGCGGCGGTCGAAAATTTACTTCCTACAAAGTCAAAGGACATCTACGACCAAGCTTGTAGGAAATTTATTGATTGGTGTAAGCAAAAGAACGCAAAAACCTACTCGGAACATGTGCTCCTGGCTTATTTTGTGTAAAGTGACATGGTGGCTGGAAGTCCAATTGTGTGGCTGAAGGTTACATAGAAGACTCGATTTCAAATAAAAATGAAATTGCACAAAAAATACTTTCGACAACTTTAGAAAATCATCAATGTGACACTGGCACTGAAGCGTTTTAATGCCTAGGCACTAAAATATTTCACTGCCGCTTATTCGATTGTTCTAAAAAGTCAAACTTTAACTCATAGTGCTGGGCTACGTAATGTCAATATTATATGACGTTTGAAGAAAAAACATCTTATATTTAATTATTGCAATGAATAGTATATTAAGTATGGAGAACGGTAAGGGATTTTTACCGTTCGAAGACAATTGTTTGGAGGAGGAGCGAAGCGACGACTCCAATTATTGTCTGAGAACGGTAACCCTTAACGTTCGACGTGCTTATAACATTTTTTGCGCGATCGAAATTAAAATTATGCAACCAATTATAAATATGCACTAAGAAATTAACGAGCAGAATAAATAATTGAAATGATCGAAGTGGTATGGTGTAGGTACATCACTAGGTAACCAGTTTATTTGTCAAAATTGAAGTTAATAATTTCATAAAAATGTGCATGTGTCTGATGTAGTTTACTAGCTTTGCACTTCCTTTATGACTTTATGAGCGTCTTGCCATAGGAAACAACAGCACTAATTGTACGTTTAATGTACCTAACAATAATTAAAGATTAAATGTAATGTAAGACTGTTGATTTTTAAAAAGGCGTCGGTAAGTATTTTTGCTGTTCTGTTTTTAGATCGGTAAGTAATTTTGACGTCGTCGTAATCATAGCAACTGGTAAATTCTACGTACTGTCATGGAAACACCCATGGTAAATAGTCAGAAATGACCGATCGCGCAAAAAGGTTATTATTGTCTTAGAAAAGTACCGGCTTTATATGGTCCAGTGGTAGAGCATTGGACTATAAATCCGAAGGTCGGGTGTTCGAACCTGTGGCAGAGATGGAAATTACCTTAGACCAGTTTCGAGCATTCTGCCGGCTACTCCGAATTAGGTTTTCCTGCAGTTTTCCTAATTCGTAAGGTAAATCCCGGAGTAGTATAGAACAACTTAAGACCTTCTGCAGAGCCACCTCTAAAAAGCATTATGCGGGTCACTCTGTAATTGGGCGCAAGCCTGTTGAGGGCCCAGACCAAGAGAGGGATAATAAATAAAATAAAATAAAAAATAAAATAAAAGTACAAGTTAGTAAAATGGGACGAGGCAACTGAAATGGATAAATGAGCCACACATTCGTTGAACCTGCAACTATCAACTGGAAACTAACATGTAATTTATAGCAAACTCATATAAAAATCAAACCAATAAGCAATTTAGAGCTTTAAAAAAACACGCTTTTTGTACCAATAATAATAAATGGGTACACGTGGTCATACTAATCTTTTGCAGGACTAGTAAACTTCTCTGGTTAGCAATTTGTAAACGACTTTAGGTTATATTGTTTTATGAGTCAGAAAATTCATTTACTGTTGGTAGGCAACATTTTGGATTGTAGGTAGGTAGGTATAGAATATAATAGATGGTACAGAAAGTCTAAACTCCGATTGTTCCATTGCTTCAGTTTATTCATACACTTTGCTGTTTGATATCATTTTCTAAATCTCTTGTGGTGATTTGAATAGACTACAATAAAATTATGTGCACGTGTATTTGAAATGCTTACGTCGGTATTATTGAAATTTCATTTCGATGTGCAAGTAGGTTCTAGAGAATGTAATGCCACAACCAGTAATTAGAGAATTCCAAGTCTGCGTTGACGTGTGCATAATTGTAGAAGATAAAGTGTTATATTGATTTATGTTAATCCATTTGCATGTCACAACATAAAGCGATAAACCCAATATTTCTAAATAAATTATAATGGGAGAACATAATACAAATAATACCAACATAACAATTTCTTTCGGAAATTATTTTATTATATAGAAGTCGATCCACGGTTCCATTATAATACTGACATAGTTATCTTCCTTTGTTATCTTCCAACCCTTCTGTTATTACAAACGCGTATAGAAAAATCAATGTGTAAACTCGTCTGAACCAATATTAGCCTTTAATTAGATAGAATCCACTTATGGTACATAATAAACCAATTATAATGAAATAACAAAATCGTAATTACATCTCACCTCGCTTCCATATTGACGAAAATGGTTTATTTTCAAAATTGGATGTCCAGTATAAAGCTATTAATTTATCACACATTGCACTGCAGGGTAACGGAAGTTCGCGTATATGTCGTAATAGTAAGGCAGCTAGCTCGAAATCCACTGGACGAGAGCGATCAAAATTCTAACCAACGGAGTTCCACTTTGGCCTATTCGAGTATGCTAAAATCGATCGTCTGTCGCCTCAAGTCATATGACTTATGGCGCTACGGTACTTCTTGCGGTACCAATTTTAAATGATTATTTTGAGAAAATAAGTTATACACCAAATGAAAGCGTTGATAATAGCTCTTAAAAAATATTTTAAAAAAACGCGAACATTTTTCTGTACAAAACAATTCTTATGCCCGTTTGCACCGACAAATTTAAGTGGAGCTTAGCTTAAGCGTAGGTTAAAATCCATGACAACCATTGTCT